ATTGTTTCAAAAGGTTTTACTGCAGAGGACACTTACCTTTTTCCTTCCTAAAAGAACAATAATGCGTAAGGAAGCCAAGGCGAATCCGGGCTTCCGCGCTAGTTGTTACTAAAATTCTTGATGAGGCGTTAAAATAAGTTCATCATTGTGGTTCATCATACGTCTTCACGTATCTTAACTTCACTTTTCAGTTCGTACAGTGTTCCTCTTCAGATGCAAACGCGTCCTGCTTCACAAGATCTTTTAATCAAAGCGCAACGGCCTATTTGGTTTGATGCAGTTAGCATTTTTTCAGCAGGGGAACAAGAGGGCGATACCGGGATACTTAGCTACGGCTGTCGCTGTCGGAAATACAAACAATAATTGGTACTTGATTGATTTAGGAGCTATAACAAAGTAAATATATATTCGCGGGAAATGCAGACGTCGGCCTTTTGGCATACAGTCTAAGCGCATGGTCTCCTTACAAATGCACTACCGAAAACAGGGGTCGCAAAAGACGCTTAAAGCGAAGCATGATTTTGTTTGGACGAATGGCCTTTAAAGAGCTTGCGGTCACTGCGAACGGAAGGAATCTTGAAACGGATGCTTTTTGAAAATAACGATTCAAAGGTCATGGTTCTGAACTTTCCGAAAGAGAAGAAAAAATGCCACTCCTGTCTGGGAAAATGAAAGTCTTTAACAGCAATTTAAAAATATATTCAAAAGGACTTCCAGAAGGCTTCCAAATCTAACTTCTCACTCAGTAAAGGAAAGACGAGGGCTGACAGCACGAGCATAAGGTCTTCAGCGCTGTGAAACTTGGGATTGGACCTCGCTGGCTGATGACAGCTAATAAGTAGGAAATGGCCACCTCAATCTCCCTTGTCTTCGGCAACAATTTTATTCAGCCTATACAGTAGTCGCCGGTTATTAAGGCCACAGTTAATAGGCCCAGCCGCTTATTAAGCCCAATTTGGTCTGGGCCCGAGGTGGGCTTAATAACCGGCGACTACTGTAATATGTTAGCCACAGTATGGCTTTTGGTGAGGCCTGAGAACCAGCCCTGTAACGCGATCGGTGGACGCTTGTCTGCCATGGCTAATATACGCGATAGCAACTGACGGGATTGAGTACGGCTGGCTGACGATGTTTAGCAAACCAGAAACGGCCACTGCAGTCTTCTATTTATTTGTCTGCAATGTCTGTGATACGCAAGCAGCTGTTGGCGGGGCTCAAGAGCGAGCCCCCGGGCACAGTAAGAGTTGTGAATTCCGTGATCGATCGGTGAGCGCCCATCTAGCATTGCTAATATGCCCAATTGGAACCGACGGCATAACGAACTCGTGTCACAGTGCGTTAGACTCCAACCAAAAGGCCGCAAGTGATGCACCGCCTGGGGTTCTTCGATGTAGCTGGTTAATGCAAACTATTAAGTTGGAAATGACCATTCCGTCTTTGTTCCTCCGCCTATATCACCAGCCGCTGTCGGGACTACCGAGTGAACCCGAAGGCATAAGGGGACGAGTACAGTAGTCGCCGAAAATCACGCAACATGCCGACATATGCGAAAGATTGATGCTCTTTCGTTAATCGATATTGACTCAAGTTGTGATACAGATTATCGTGTAGTCTATTCTGAAGTCGTTTCAGTCATGATAGGATGCGGGCTTTTTAACGAGCTTCGTTCTGACCAACTGAAGTCATTTCAGTCAGGAAAGGATGCCGGCTTTTTAAAGAGCTTCGTTCCAGCTCCTACGAACGTATCTATTGTAAAAACTGGCTACTTAAGTAGTATGCCTTTTTATCATTTATGTTGACTGCCTTTTGTAAATTCAAATTTCTTTTATGGAAAACATGCACGACAAAAATATTTCTAGTGCTTATTTGAAAGCAAATTACGCCTTCGTTACATTTTATACTCAAAGAAACGGTATCTCTCAGCTTTAAAAAAGTTTCTCAATTGTCGAATAATTTTCTAACCTACTGACATGCTACACTCGAATTCAAGGTTTAAAAACTGCGCACTGTGTACATCCTGTTTAAGGAAAAGTATGCTTTGCCTACAGTTTGAGGAAGAAGTCACATAGTTATCATAAAATATTGCAATGGATGTGAAACATTTTTCATGCAGTATAGGCAGCATTAATAAATTGACGAATACGATGTATTAGGAATACACACCTCACAACTGTAGAAAAGCTCGTAATTAGCAACTTTTTTAAAACCGGCAGATACCCTTTTTTGAGTAAAAAATTTAAAGAAAGCGTAATTTGCTACCAAATGAGTACAATACATAAGTTAAAATTTGAAGAAGGCGTAGTTTGCTACCAAACGAGTACAAGGAATAATTTTCCATTTAAAGTAGGCGTAATTTTTTATCAAACAAGTACATGAAATAATTATTTTGTGTATGTTTTCCATAAAATATATTTGAATTTATAAAGGCAGTCAAAATAAATGATGAAAGGCATACTACTTGAGTAGCCACTTTTTACAGTAGATACGTTTTGTTGGTGGTCAGAATTAAACTCGTTAAAAAGCCGGCATCCTATCGTGACTGAAGTGACTTCAGAATAGACTACACGATAATCAGTATTAGAGCCTTACTCAATGCCGATTAGCGAAAGAGTACCAATCTTTCGCATATGTCGACATGTTGCGTGATTTTCGGCGACTACTGTACATCCCGTAACGCGATTGATGAGCGCCCATCCATCCCAGAAAATCGAATCCTGTTATACAATAAGGAAACATTGAAAGTAGCAACCTCGTAGGAGCAAAATAAACATTGACGGAGTGCTTATAAATCCTTCGACTTTTGACGCTCGTAGAACCTATCTCGAACGATCAGCATGTATCTGGAAATTGCTGCTGTGCGCAGCCACTCGGGCTGCGCAAGAGCGACGGTTAGCTGCAGTTCATGGCCAAAGTAGCCGCAACTCTCGCTCGCCACCCCCAACATAGATAGCGCCGAGAACGCAAAATCGGAAGGATAGGGTGCAAAGAAACCCGGGTGCTTGTCAAAGTTCATAGCCGTTATCACGGAGCCAGGCATAAGATTGCCCACCTTAACACAGGTGCCCACCAACTCACCAGCTAATGACTGCGTGAAATGGTGTATAAAGGCCTTGGTGCCAGCGTAGACAGAAAAGTACGGAAAGGGGATTCGGCCAGCAAATGAAGAAACATTGACAATGTGACGGTGAACTCCAGCCGGTGGTAACGGTGAGGCCAGCATCTTTGGTAGGGTAATGCGGGTCATGCAGGTCGTTGAGGTTACGTTGCAGACAATCATATTCTGCAGTTTCTCGAGAGTCAGCTCTTCACCTGTAGCCAGGGCGTCTGGATGAGAGTACGCAAGGCCGACGTACTTACTTTGTACTTGTTACGGCTGTGATCATGCCTGATCTAGCCGGCCT